TCTTTCACATATATATATATATATATATATATATATATATATATATATATGTAGTAATACTCTATATGTGTATAAAATGTCGCTCTATGTATCTAATGATATAATGTTTCCATGAGTATAATAATTTATCATTTGACAATCATCCGCTATTCATGCAATCGATATTGTATTCAACTTTTAGTATGCAATACTATGAGTATCATTAATAATTACTTAGGATGTGTTTGGTAAGATTAAAAATATTATTAGAAATGATTCTAGGATAATAAATATGTTTCTTACTTAATATTTTTTTTGTGTTTGATAGGTAAGCAAAAATTATTACCCTAAAAGCATTTCTATATAATTTAGACAAATACTGTGAGAGGTGGAGTAGAGAGTAGGGGTGTGTGTGGTGGTGTGGATGAAGATGGGGAGCTCCATATTATGTGTTGAAAATGAGGAAGACATTATCAATGTAGAATACCATATGTGTAACTTGTTTTTCATACATCTACTATAGAAATTATTTCCTCATTTCAAAAGAACAAAAAAGCTTATTTTCTAGAGCAAATATTTTGCAAAGATTTTAACCGATCAAATATAGAAAAATTAACAGTTACATACCGAACACTCCCTTCGATCCATCAAATATCTTTTCTCCAATTTCATGTGAAAACAATTAAAAAGAAAGAATAATATTTAGTATAACTTACATAAATTCCATAATATAAGACCTAAATTACATCATATCCCTGCTCCTTTTTATTTTACAAAAATCCCTTAAAATATCAGCCAGATACATAACTGGATGTCCCAATACATTAATTGTGCTACATTATATATATGTCTGTTGCGCTTAATATGAAATATTAATGTAAAAATGATTTTAATTTCCCCGATTCACGCAAAACTGATTGATATCAAATCATTTCAATCTATAACAGATTCAGAAAATTCAAAATTCAAGTTTTCATCCTCTCCATCAATCGAAAATCATGAAAAACTCCAAATAACTCAACCATAGTGGTTGATACAAGATGAATATATTGATTTTGTTGAGGAATTTAGGTAAGCGAGGTGAGTCAGGAAGGTTATAAAAGTGATGAAATTGTTGTTGGAGAAACGATTTCATTTGTATATCTTTGATCTTCAAGATAATCATAGTTCCAAAGTAGTATTGTCAAAAAGGAAAAGGCCTAATCTTGAAATTGTAGAAGAATTGCGAAAAGGATCAATCGCGGATAGTGAAAACAATAGTGGTTCGATAAATTTGCTGATTAGTCTGATGGAGACATGCTTTCAACTGAACTCTGAAGATGATATGCAAATGTAAATGCAATTCTGATAGACTTAGCGACCAAAAACACTAATGTTATAGCTACATATGAAAGTACCAGTATACAAAGAAAGAGTATGTAGATGTGACCATACATCGTAGAAGGGAACTCATTGAAGATCCTCTCAATTTTTATTTAAAATTGTCAAAAAAAAATTGAAATTCAAAATTCTTGTCTCAGTTAATCGAAGATCCTTTCAATTTTGATTCAAAATTGTTGAAAATTTTGAGAAGATACATCATGAATATCTTTGTTAGTTTGTACTAGAAGGTGAAGAAACATGAGCCAGAATTTGCAATATATCTAGTATTCATTGATACAACACACAAAAAGGTTGGAGAGATGTTGTGTAGTCAATTTTTTTATCTATGATCTCGAGATAAATATATTACTCATGATACATTGCTTTTTAATTTTTTTTAGTAAATTGTTAAGTACTGTAATCCTCCCTGATACATTAAAGTAGTAAAGGTTGCCCATAAGGTGATTGATTTTAGATCGATACATTACCATGTGATAGTTATTACATATCAAATACACGTAGTGCTAATTTGTATGAATGGATCACGACCAAAGTTTTTTCAATTTGTTTTTTTATGGATATATTACTCATGATACATTATTATTCCTTAAATATTAGTAAATTGCTAAGTACCACAATTCGCCAGATACATTATGTCACACCCCGAGCCTACACCCTGGACGTGGCCGGCACTCGAAGACCATTGCTGGCCTCAAGCGAACCCTTGGCCTGGCTTACTAACTCAGCGGAAGACTAACTCATCATATACCCATTTAAGAAGTAACTAGAATGTTATAAAGGAACATTCAACTGGCCATTAAGGCAAACTCAAGTCTTTAACATATGAAATAAAAAGTAAAGACAACTGAATTAACTAACTGACTGTCCATCTGTCTATGAAGCCTCTAAACAACTGAGAT